CCCCTGGGAGCTTTCAAAGGCCCCGACCACCAAGCCACTACCTAGACCGATTCATTTAGAATGTAATCTTAGGAGTAATCTTACAGCTCTCCCAAGACTCCAATGAACAGGGAAGGTTCAACCTCACCTGGTGCGAGAAGAGGCACAAGGCAGCACTGGTGAGAGGCTGGGGTGTTGGGTCCAATTATACCTGCTTGTCTCCCTCCCGACCCCACGCCCTGGAATCTCAATTCCTGAAGGGTATCAGCCCCCTAGTTAGCTCAGTTCCCTCAAGGCACTAGCCCCACACCAGGCACACTTGTGGGACCCCAGGAAATGGAAGCTTCAGGGCCTCAAAAGTGCCACGAAAGGTCTGGGAAAGAAGCCCAGTGGGTCTGGGCCAGCCCCCTGCTTTGCTCTGAGCTCCAGGGAGGCACCGGTCTTTTTTGTGTCCGATCAAGTGTTGGCCCAGGTGGCCCTGAGTTTGCCCTTCCCCTAAGGAGCTTGAGACCCCTGGGGGGCCAGTGTGTACCAGGCTTCCTACTCACCCCCGACAAATGTCCTAGCCCTTGGAGGCCTAAAATCTTCACTTCTGGTGCTCTACCTTATACTGGCTGCAAAGACAGACTCTGGGGTTCTAAAAGCCGAAGGCCGAAGACCAGCAAAAGAGGAAGCCTGTTCCGAAAATACTGGAAAACAGAATGTGAACAAAGGGATTTTTTCCATGGTGAGCAGAGTCCACTCTGCCCCAGGAGTGGTAAACAAAGGTGAGGTGGTTCAAGTGACCAGAAACTCCCAAGAAGGAACTTAGGAAACAGTCATGAGGCGGGTCCAAAGGGGCTGCGAAGGGCCTTGGCTTCTGGTCATCAGCACAGCCAAGGCCCTAATGTACGACTAAAGGCTTTTATTGGAAAAGGAAAATTGACTGAAAAGTGGCCCCCAAATCCTCACTGCCTGAGGCAGCTAGGGCCTCCTCCAGAGAGTCCAGGAAAGAAGGGGACACCAAACTGGGCCCTTGGCCAGCTCAGGTATAGAGGTCAAAGTCAATGCGTTTGGAGTTGTAGAACTGTCCACCGGGAGGGTCCAGCTTCCGGCAATAAACACCATCTGCGAAGTAGCCTTCGTTCACCCAGGTCTGCAGGAAAAGAGAGCAGAGCTGAGAAAGGCCTGATACGGGTGGCGGGGGCTGGGGGAGGGAGCAGCGGCAGAAGGAAGTAGGAAGGGGCTTACCTGCATCTGGGTGCTGGTGAAGGGTCCGTACAGCTCAGCATCCCCCGTGTTCTCCCATTTATATTCCCACATGACGTCCGCCAGACCATCTCCTGGCAACTCTGCTTCTAAAATAACAGGCAGGGCCATCTGAGCCTCAGGTGCCCTGCTCCCTGCCCCCATTACCCCTCCTCCACCTTCCAATCTTACCTCCCTTCTGGGTAGGAGTTGGAGTCTCTAGCTCCCCCTCTGCCACTTCGTCAGCAAACATGTCCAGAGAGGGTGGGGGTGTGGGCTCAGGGGGTCCCTGAGTCCGGGACCCCAACCCCTTCAGCCGCATGGCTAACCGTTCCCTTGTCTCCTGATATACACCAAGGTTGCCCCGGGCCACCATCTGGTCAGCCAACCCAGAGAGCCGATCCAAGCGCTGGGGGGAACTAGGCCGCCCAGCCCCCTTGCTGCCCCCTTTGCCTCCTCCTGCTCCTCGGGCCCCCAGACGCCTCAGTGCTCCAGCCACTGTCTCTCTTGGCAACAGCAGCTCCAGAAGGCCCTCCAGGAGAGCCTGGGCGCTCATTGGTGTCTGGCCCAGGCCGTCTTCCTCCTCTGAGTCTGACGGCGGGCGCTGATCAGGTGGCCGCTCCCTGATCTTCACCTAGGATATGAAAACAGGAGATGGGGGTGTTATCTCCAACAAACCGTGAGCAGGGCCTAAGCCCAGCACTTTCTGCCTCCAGACCCCCAGCCATGTCAACCCCAGGGCCACACCCAGTCAATGTTGTCCAGCCAGCTGTCTCGGATCTGAGCATCCCGGTTCAGGAAGTAGTTGCCATCGGCATCAAAGTGGCCTTCCTCCATCTCTTCCTGCAGATTGAAGGGTGTGATCCGCACACCTCCCTCACTGGGGAGTGTGGCTGCTTCCTGACCTGCACCGAAGACACAGGCGTCCCACACTGAGCAAGCAAAAAGACAAAAAAGCCTTCCCTGCCCCACACCCCCTGAAGCCCTATCTGTTCCTCCGGCAGCATCAATTGGTGGGTTTAGCTCACCCTCCACATCCTCTGAAGCCAGGATGTCATATTTGCTGGGCCCCTCATCGTCATCATCCTCCTCATCGCTGTCCAAAGAGTGCTTGTCTTTGAAGCGGCTCCCAGGACCCCCTGCCCCAGTCACAGGATCCACCAGCTGTGAGGAGGGGCCAGCGAGTCGAGAGAGGAAGGTTACTGGCTTTCCCCAAAATAGTCTAGGTGGGTTTTTCTTCAAAGCCTCAAACTGAAAATTCTCCAAACCCATTTCCCAGAGAACAATGGAAAAGCCAGCCTTTTCTCTGTGTTCTTTGTCCCCTCCTCTCTTCTAGCTTCTAGTTTCTTTTTCCCTCTCCTCACTCCTCCCCACGTTGCAGGAGCCTGGCCCCCTCACCTTCTTCTTGGGAACACTGATTTCATCGTCATCATCCTCATCTCCGACGCCTTGGAAGGTCACTTTCCTCTTTGGCATGACTGCACAGAGGGGCCTTCCCCAAGCTGAGCCGAGGTGAAAGGGTGCAGATTAAGGGAACTGGGAGAGGCTGCTCACCACCGAAGGGCCCCCAGCACAACAAATTATCACCTGGTACGCATTAGATCCAGCTTGGAAGAAGAGGGAGCCCAAAATCAGGGACCGAAAGAGAAGTTGGCAGCCCGGAGGCCCCCGGGACTTGGTTTAGTCCAAGAGTTGCTGGAGACCGGCCAGAGAGGCGGACGCGCGGAGGGGCTTCCCACGGGCAACCCCCGCCCTTGACGAAAGGAGAGAGGCTCCCCCCCACCTGCACCCCCCATCCCTGACCCTCGCAGTCCTGAGTGCGACGGGGCTCCGCGGGCTGACACCCGCTCCTACACCTCCAGCTCCCTCAGAGCCCGCGGGGCCCGGGCGGACCCAGGACCTGGCATCCGGGCCGCCCCCCTCCGCCCCGCGCCGAACTCCCAACTCCGCGGGGTAACCCCCAACTGCCCGGGGCTAACCATACAAAATCAAAGGGGCGGCAGAATTGTGGGGATTCGAGGAGCCCCACCGGCGCGCGCTCACCTAAGTATCCATGGGAGGCGGAAGGGAAAGGAAAAGAAAGAGGCTTTCACCAGGGATACGTCCGGGGCACCGGCCGCCATCACCCGGAAGAGAACTGCGAAGGCACCCGAGGAAGCCGGAAGTGGCTTCACCCGGAGCAGAGGACTCGTGGAGAAACGGGCAGAAGTGTGCCCTGAGCGGGGAAGACCGCTCCGCCTTCCCCAGAGTGACGTGAGCAGCATGGGGCGACAATGGCGAGGACGGGGAACGTATGAACGCCTAGACCCTGATCAGACGAGAGGGATGGCCGGATGCGGTTTCGACTTCCTCCTACAGCAGTTAGAGGCTCTGGGGAGAAAGTGGGGGCGCACTCTGCTTAAAGGGGCGATCAGGACCATGATTGGAGGACCAAAATGGGACAGTGGGTTTCGGCCTGTTTCCCTTTCCAGGGTTGAGTCACCCTTCCCCAGGGTTGGCCAAGAGCTTTGCGCCCCTCACCATCTCTTTGGGAATCCTGCCTTTCTTCTCAGGGTCCAGTTCTGTCCACTCCCACTCCTAGGTTCGGCCTTGCTCTTCTCCCTGAGGAGGCCCCGGATGGCTCTGGGGGCATTTACGGAACTCCGCTCTCTTTAGGACCCAGGGGAAGTCATTTACCCCACGCCTATCCCCTGGGCTAGTTCCTGCCTTCCGCGGTGGGAAGTCACCGGAAAGGTGACGGTGATTACCTGTGCCCAGTATTCAGGCCAGAAGTCTCTTGTGCCCTGATCTCAGGTAGGCCTGGAAAAGGGCAACAGTGCCTCTCTCAAACCACAGCTGCAGGTAGATAGGGGCCCAGGCCAGCGGCCCCTGCCCAGTCTGTAAACTGGCCCAAGGGGCAGAGCTGGAGGTGGGAGGTGTGGGTCCCAGTGCCGTGGGGGCAAGACCTCTACCTCTTGAGGACAGAGTCTTAAATCTCATTGGGCTAGGACCACCTCTCTTCTCTGCTGCCCCCAGGGTTTACTCTCAGATTGGATTACCATGAAACTGCATCAGAAGTCCGTGCTCAGTTTCTTCCGTGGATGCAGAACACAGGCTCCAGACCGGGAGGGCATCTTGCTAAAGAAGGGAGCCCGAAATACCAGCTATCAACGCCGCTGGTTCATCCTCCGGGGAAACCTCCTCTTCTACCTGGAGAACCAAGCGGACCACACACCCCTGGGCCTCATTCTTTTGGAAAACTGCCAGGTGGAGCCACTCCTCGGGGCCACAGAACCCTATGCCTTTACCATCCTGACCCCCAGGGTTGAGGGCACAGGTGGGCGGGCCTACAAGCTGGCAGCAGAAAATCAGGAAGAGCTGGGAGCCTGGCTGTGGGCGCTGGCTGGGGCGAGCTGCAGGCAGCTGGTGGTGCTCCTACCTACCCTGGAGGCCCAGTACCGGGAGCTCTGCCAGGCAGCTGGCCAAGAGCCCAGCTCACCCCCAGAGGGCTGTGGCTTCCTAGCCACCGTCAGTACCCCCTCCAGCTTCCAGGAGTTGCACGAGCACTTTGGGAAGGAGATCCGGGTGCTGCAGGTGGTACATCGAAGGCCCCAGGCCAGTGACAATGGAAGCAACAGATCCCAGGCAGAGGAGGAGCCGGAGCTCAACAGCTGTTGATGAGGGACTGAAAGATGGACCAAGACCAGCCAACTGCTTCAGTAGACACCCAGATCCTGGCCTACTCCACTGTTTCCCACCCCCTGTCCGGTCCTTACTCTGCCCCCCATCATCAAATAACAAAGCAGGAGACAAGCCCAGGTACAACAGCAGGTTCTTTTCTGATTCCTCAAAGCGCCGCACAGGGTGGGAGCAGAGACAGAAGAGAATGTAAACATTGGGTTCCACCCCCTGGAGTTCAAGGGAAGACCCCTTCCCCAGATAGGGGCTGGAGGGGAAACAAGGCGAAAGGTGGGGATCCTGGTGGAGACAAAGCAGGAGAAGCCTGAGAATACACAGGAAGGTGGGTGAAGAGGAAAGAGAGCAAGGAGGATGGCAGGTGGGGAGAGGGGGGACATTTCCTGTTCCAGCGCATGTCCCTTTAAATAAATGAGTGCAAGAACACTGTGGAAGAACTAAAGGACAGAAGATAGAGCGAACACACCCACCCTGGACCCACCAGGTCCTCTGTACATAATTACAACAGAGATGTCCAGAAGTAGAGCGAGGAGAGCCTTGGCCCCCAGGCAGGAAGAGGGGGAGACCGGCAGAGCTGAAGAAGGGAAAAAGGAACCCAGCTCCACTCACGGATAAGGGGAGCAACTGGTATAAGAATCTGAAAACTGCTGATTCCCATTGCCAAGTCACCTCCGAGGTGACAAATGGCCAATCAGGACTGCACCTGGGACGGACCCCAGAGGGAATTGGGGCAGGAGTGACAGAGACCCCAGCTGGGCCCAACTGGAGGTGAGGGGCTCCAGACTTGTTCATGGCTGCCCCAGGCCGGGCCTGCTCTTGACTAAGGAAGAGGGAGGCCATGCAGTCCAGCCCCAAGACGAGGTCAGAAGTAAGCATCCTGCCGGGCCTCAGATGCCGAGGACCTGTCCCCACCATCCTGGGGGGCCGGGGGCCCATCTGCCTTTCGACGAAGTGAGAGCTTCCTGCCTTGGGCCTTCTTTTCCTGCTTCTGTCGTTCCTTCTCCTGCTTCTGTTGCTCCTTCTCCTGCTCTTTTTCCCACTTCTGGCGCTCCTTCTCCTGCCTCTCCCGTTCCTTCTCCTGTTTCTGCCGCTCCTTCTCACGTTCCTTTTCCTGTTTCTGCCGCTCCTTCTCCTGCTTTCGAGTCTCCTTGCTGGGACCCAGTGGGGTGCTGTTGCCGGTAGGCGAAGGAAGGGATGGATGCAGTCCCTCAGCGGTGACCACAGGCCCTGGGGCAGGCCCAGCACTGGCCCGGCGGGCAGGAGGGGGTGGAGAGGGGGCCCCCCCAGCTGCCCGGGAACCTCGGCTCTTGAGGCCAGGGAGGCTAAGAAGGCTGGAAGAGGGGCCCAGGGGTGGCTGCTGTCGCCGCCGCTCCTCATGGATGGCCCGGGAGCCATGCAGTCGCCGAGAGGGCCGATACTGCAGCTCCCCCCGGGTTTCCCGCCACTTCTTGAGCTGGGCGGTGTTCTCTCGCTCAATCAGTGCTTCCGTCACTGGGAGGGTGGTCACCTAGACCGAGAAGGACTGGGTAGCGGGATGCAGGGGAAGGGGAAGGGGAGGGCGGGGACAGGCAGAAGCCTTGAGCTGCTGTGGCCTACCTCGTGCACCAGGAAGTCCTCCTGCATGCACTGCTGGGGCAGGTTGCGCAGCTGCTCCATGGTCTCGTACATGCCCTGGCAGGAGCGCAGCTTCTCCACTGAGCCCAGTGTGTGCCTCAGCAGCACCAGGGCCACCCGGAAGATGATCTTGACACCTGGGAGGGTGGAAAAAAGAGAGCACAAGGGATCAGGGCTGGAATCGCAGCCCGTCCCATTTAGAAGGGACCTGCAGGCCCTATGCCCAGCTTACTGCCGTCCTCACAGATGAGGAAATGGAGGCCCCACGGAGGCAAAGGAGATGCCTTGGGTTTCAGGTTCCCGGGAGGGAGTAGGCTTCGGGCTGATGGCAGAGCCAAGACCGGGCCCCAGTTTCTCCGGCCCCCACACCGCATACAGGGAAGCCAAGGCCCCCGCATACCTCCCGGCAGCACGCCCCTCTCTGGCAGCCACTGTGGAAACCCCAGGCCCCGCCGTGGGCTGAATGGGTGCAGAAGTACCTTCACAGAAGAACATGTCCCAAACGCGCAGCACGGACGCCCAGGGCAGGGTGCGGGCGAAGATGCACATGAACCACTCAGTCATGTAGAGCACAGGGTCGATGCGCTGCCGCCGCAGGTGCCGGTGTGCCAGTGGGGAGGCCCGGCGTAACAGCGCGAAAAAGATCTCTCCATCCAGCTGAATGGCCTCCTGCCGGCGGGAGAAGCCATGAGGGGGGTTTACGGGGACCCCCTCCGGGTAGCCCTGTCCCTGGGAGGGGATCCTCACTTCAGTGGGAGAGGCGCAGAGTGGAGGGACAAATGGGCAGGACAAGGACCTCCCTGCAGCCTGGGGCGCCCCAGCCTTCGCACACTCACCAGCCCTGCGCTGTAGTAGCCGGGGAGGTACTTGTCACAGATCTGCACCAGGCACCAGAAAGCTTGCTGAAGAGGGTAAGAGCAAGCGGGGGAGAGATGGGGCCTGAGAAACAGCGAGTAGAGTGCTCCCCGATCGCCGCCGCAGGCCCAGGTCCTCCCGGGCCCTCCCCTCCCAGGACCAGGGTATGCTGACCTCCGCGGGCATATGCATGAGCAGCACGGCAGCCACAGGGGCCTGGGCCTGGCAGTAGCCCTCATCGGGCCGGTAGATCGTGTAGGCCTTCAGGATTCGGTACAGGTCCTGCTGCCTGTGGGTATTGGGGAAGACGATGAGGGCAATCACAGGAGTTGGGGGCTCTCTGCCCCAAACTAAGCCTGCTCCCCCTAGCCAGCCCCATTCCAGACCCTGCCTAGACCCACTTCCAGATTAACCTCAGAGCTTTGCCACCACATGTCTCCACTGACATTCCTAGTGCTCCCCATCGAGATGAAGCCAAAGACTCCGACCATAACCAAAGCATTCCAGGCTCCAGCCTCCCACCCTGCCTTCACACCCCACATGCTCCCTACCCGTTCCCCCGCACAGGCTGTGCTCTCTCTCCCTTCTTCATCTGCCGCCATCCTGTAGACCTTCAAGGTCACCTTCTTCAGGAAGCTTCCACTGCCTGCAGCATCAGCCCTCCTGTCACACTGTCTGAATGCTTTTAGCACCCCAGGGCAGGGGCTTTCCCAGGGCAAGGCCTGCCTCATCTGCCTCACTGGACTGAATCAGGTCCCCACCACTGTGTCCAGTGGGCCCTGGTTCTTGGTGAAGGCCTGGGAAGCCAGCTGTGCCTCAGACCTTTTCTCTTGTCTCTGCAACCAAAAGGATAAAGTCTCTGCCCTAGACCCCGCTCCTCTTTCTTGAAGGTGCGTCATCACTGCATCTGGGAATCCCATTCTGTCAGCCCCACATTGGAAAAGAGAGGGCTTCATCAGTTCCAGTGGCTAATCACCAAATCTCAGCACTACCTCTTGAATTTCATTCGTGCCTGTTCCTTCAGCCTCCGCAGCCATTCCGTAGCACAAACCCTTATTTTTTACCCAGAAAAACATAAAAATGACCTCTTCTATCCCAACATTTAGTCACTGAAGTGTGATCTTCATTTGTGCTTCGTTTGCATATCTCCCCGCTATTTTTCACTTAGTATTTTTTCTCCGCTTTGCAATGGCGTCCATGAAATGAGAGGTTGGATGCACTAGTTATTTTATCTAATACCTATTCAAATAAACACGAAATGCCCACAAGCTCCCATGCATCACTCACCTACCTATCTGCATGTGTCCCTGTTTTCTCCCCTGTGGCTCTGGGTGAAATGTTTGTAATCCTGGCCAAACACAACCTTTTCTCTTGGGCACTGCACCCCATCCGCTCTCACCTACACGAGCCATCACCCCAGCAAGCTCCCACCTCTCCTGCACCATCAGATTTTCTCTCCCTATTAGATCATTCCCATTGGCATACCAACATCTGTTATTTCCTCTTGCTTAAAAAAAATGTCTCTTGGACCCCCCTGCCCCCTCCAAACACCACGTCATTTCACTCCTTACCTACTCAGCAAAACTTTGGGGTACAGACTCGCTGTCATCAAGCTCTCTCCTCCCATTCTCCAGTCAGGCTTTAACCCACTGCCCCGCACAAAACGGCTCTTATCAAGGTCACCAATGACCCGAGGTCAATCTGCAGACTTGATTTTACTTGACTCATCAGCAGGATTTCAAACCGCTGGACCTGAAACCCCTCTTCAATTTGCTTCTGAAATCACACTGCCCTGGTTTTCCTTCTACCTCTCCAGTTTCTGTTTCTAGTCTCCCTTGTTGGTTCGTTCTCATTTTCCCATTCCAGAAAATGCTGGAGCTGCAGGGCTCAGTCTTTGAGCTTCCTTTTATATTTACACTTGCTGCTCTGATGATCTCATCCAGTCCTATGGGTGAGATTTAGTCCCATCTAGAAGCTGACAACTCTCAATCTCCAGCTTACCTTCACTTTAAACTTCTCCCCAAGTCCCAGACTTGGATATAGCAGACATCCATCCAACTTACTTGGCATCTCCATCTGGACATCCAATCAGCATTTCAAGCCTCATATTCCATAACTGAGCTCCTGACGTACCCCTCAAACTTCTTTTCCCATTTTTCCCATCCACATCAATATATAACAATTCCATTTTTCTTGTTTCTCAGGCGCAAAACCTTCAGAGTCAGCCTTAATTGTACTCTCTCGCTCGCTTGCTCTTCCTGCTCTTGCTTGCTCCCTCTTAACTCCGCATCCAATCCACTGCAAATCCTTCTGGCTCTACCTTCAGAATATACCCAGAACCCAACTACTTCTCCTCACAGTTCCACGGCTACCATTCTGGTCTATCTATCATGATCTCACTCCTGGATTACAGAAATGGCCTCCTAACAGGTCTCTCTGCTTCTGTCCTTCTCTCGTTATAGTCTATTCTCAGCACAGCAGTCAGAATGATCCTTTTAAAACACAGATCCGATCACTGGTAACTCCATCTCCATTCTCATTCTCTATTCCCCTTTCTTGTTTTAAACTCCTCTTTCATACTTACCACCATTTCACATGCAACATACTTTTTCTTTGGCTTCCTTATGTATTGTCTATCCCCACTAAAATGTAATAAGCCACATAAGGGCAGGAGTTTTTGTCTCTTGTTAACTGCTGTCATCTGTGGCTAGACCAGGTCTGGCAGATAGCAGGAGTTAAGTATCTGCCGAAAAGATGAACCAACTAAAGAAGAAAGTCCACCTGAGAACCACTTAATACCATCTTGCATATTACTAATGACTGATATACACACATCTCAGGGAAGCCTAGTATATACAACAAAAGTACAAGTGCCTGGCAAGTTTTTTAGGGCCTTTGGTGACCTGGCCCTAAACTGCTTCTCCAGCCTCAGCTCTACCCAATTGCACATCCCAAACAGAGCTTACATAAACCCCCAGCCAAGAAAAACCTGCCCCCTGCTCTGCTTCCATCTATCCTTCAAAACCCAGATCAAATGCAACCTCTTCGGTATGTTGTTGTGCCCTCCTGTCCCCCCTCCAGCAGTCCCCCAAGATTCCAAGTCAGAATCTTCCTCCCAAGACATTTCCTTCAATATGGCTTGACACTCAGCCCATTAAGCACCACTCTCCTACAAGCCCTGGAGAGCAAGAACCGCTTTCAACCCAGCCCTGCATCCACCTGGAGCCCTCTACCAGTGTTTGCTGACTGACCCACATGGTCAGGCCATCTTACCCATGCCCCCCTCGAGCAGCAAACATCTCATGGAAAGGGAACTGGCGGTGCAGGTCCTTCTCAATCACATCCAGCCACTTAGGGTCCCCAGGCGCCCGTTCCAGCTCCTGCAGTGGGACAGCAGCGACGATCTCAGGATCTGGGGGGACTGATGATACCCTTCACACCATGTCACATCCCCATACCCTGGACACACCTCAAACTTGCCAGGGTTCTGCTCCAGGAGTTCCTTGCTATTGGACAGGTACTGCCAGGCCTTGGCTCTGAGGGAAGAGGGGATCCCCTTCCGGCAGCGCAGCTTCACCTAAGACAGAACGGCGGGCAGGGCAGCAGCTCCAGGGGCTGGCAGAGCCTCCAGGCTTTCCCCAGCAGTCCTCAGGCTTCCTGGCACACCCCTCACACATCCCATTGGCTGGACTCCACTGGACCTGGCCTGGCCTTCTATCATCAAAGCTGCTCCTCCCCCCAGGCCCAAGTACCACCTGCTCCCAATGTGGTCTAGAGAGCAAGAACCAACATGGCTTCCCCGGAGCACATGAGCCCTCCCTGCCCCCTCCCCAACCTGCCCCATTGGCCTGCCCACCACTCAGCCTTCCAAACCTTCTGGAAACGCCGTGACAGCCACTTATCCCAGTTACTGAACATCTCCAGCCATTTGAGCTCCCGCTGCCGAGCCACATCTACAGGAATGGAGCTCTCTCTGCAGGATGAAGGGAGCATGGAAGGGGTCAGAAGCAGTAGTGTAAAACATGGACTGCTGGCAGAACCGAAACAGGCCACCTCCCCAGTTTCAAATGAGAGACTGGATACAAAAGCATTTTGTGAGCTACCAAGCCATCAGGACATCTGGCCACTTAGCCATCCAAGAGCCTTGCTCACCACACCGAAAAGACTTCTCTTTGGAAGGAATCTCTATACAAAGGTTGAGCTCTCATGGTGGATCTCTATACATGCTGGGTGTGTTCAAATCCTGCTTATGGCACATACCAGTTTGGGAGGTAGGGTACAGAATATTTAAAAACCACACTTTGCATGAGACCTGGGTCCAAGTTCTAGCTTTACACTCATTCACTTACTCATTCATTACACTTGCCTTGGGCAAGTCACTGAATTCTGAGCCTCAATTTTGGCATTTGTAAGATGGAGAGGTCATAGGAGGTAGCAAATAGCAAGTGTTCAGTAACAACAATAATTATCCACAAAATAAAATACAGAATATATTTCTCTGCTCCTTAGAAGCAACTGAGTTTCCTCCTATCAGACTCTTGAGATCTCCTTGGCCATCTACAATCCCCTCTACCTCCTCCTTCCTGAACTCACCCTCGATTCCCAAGTACATGAAGTTTTCCCTCCACAGTTTGCCCACTGTTCTGTCACAGCCTCACACTCAAGATGCCCCATGAGTCTTGAAACAGTTACTTGTAGGAGCCAGCACCAGGAGGTGAGTGGAATGGAAGAAAGAGCTTGAGTTTCCAGACAGACCTGAGCTCAAATCCCAGTTCCGTCCATTAGAAGTTGGGTAATCTTGGCAAGTGATAACCTGAGTCTCTTCCTCTTCTATAAAAAAGGGATGTCACCACCTACATCACAAAGTTATGAGAGGATTATTGAGAAACTATATAAAGGACTGGTAAATGGAAGGGCTCATTAAATATTAGTTTCTTTTGTCTTAGGAGCCCCTTAAACACCTCTCATTAATTTCCATCAAAAGTCAGTTCCAAACTCTGCTAAGGATCAGAAGAATAAGATAATATCTTTCCTGCCCTCAAGAAGGTCACAAGCTTGCAAGGGAGATAATTACAATGTGGTATGGGAAAGGCAATGATAAAAATTGCACAGAAGAGACACCGACTGGAGTAGGAACAATGGATATCAGAAAAGGCTTCCTGGAGGAGGAGACATCGAGTTATAAGCCATGAAGGACGAAACAGAACATACTAAGGCAAGAAGGGGGAGAAAGGCGTTCCTGGCAGGTGGGAAAGCCTGAGTAGGAAGGGGGAAAGACTACAATCCATCTGTTCAACAGGACCACAGGACTAAGTACGTGGTAAGGAGTGGTGAGACAGAAGACCAGAAAGGCTGGCAAAGCCAGATACTAAGGAGCCTATCTGCAAAATAAAGCACTTGGGACTTTATCCGTGTCCAGTGGGGAGCCACTACAATTTTTAGGGTAACATGTGCCTCAGTCAGTCTTGCCTCAGAAGTATATTCCTCCAGCACAGATGATAGATTTTATTTTATTTTTTTAAAGATTTTTATTTATTTGACACAGAGAGAGCATGAGAGAGAGCACAAGCAGGGGGAGCAGCAGGCAGAGGGAGAAGCAGGCTCCTGGCTGAGCAGGGAGCCTGATGTGGGACTCAATCCCAGGACCCTGGGATCATGACCCGAGCTGAAGGCAGACACTTAACCGACTGAGCCACCCAGGTGCCCTGATGATAGATTTTAGAGGGACAAAATTACAAAGCATAGAAATAGCAACCAGCACGGTGCCTAGCACACAAGGGGGGCTCACTAAAATCCAATTCAATCCAAGTTCCCTAGGGCAGCATAGTACTGACAAGAAGCCCATCACACAGATCCAGATGTGAGTGGGGTCATTCACTCAACTACTTCCATCCTGTTTCTTCACCTATAAATTGGGTACAACAATGCCTCCTCTGTGCACGGGAAAACACCAAGGTCAAAGTTCGGTGCCTTCCTAAGACCATGAATGTTCGTGCTCAAAGATTTTCTATTTTGGGGATTACAAAACATGCTTAGATTATCCTCCCAAGTGCTTCCCCCAACCCCAGGCAGGTGCCCCCCACCCCAACACGCACATACACAACTAAATCCTATTCATTCTTCAGCATTCGGACCAGCCTCAGCGGACTTCTGAGTGGATCCCTTCCCTAGATGCTCATAAAATCCTGTGATGATCTCTAGGCTAAACCTAACACATATTAAAACCAACTCTTTAAGTATTTGCTTCTCCCTCTAGATGATGAGTGCCTTGAAACAACTATTTTATCCCTAGTACCCAGCACAGGTCTGGCACCTGGGTGCTCAGTTGATGCTGGAGGCTGAACTGACCAGCAGGTGAAAGGGGTACAGGAACAATGCGAAGGATCCAGAGAGAGGGAAGGAAGAAGTCAGAGGCAATCGCACTCCTACATCAGGAGTGACTCAGGCCCCTGGAGGGAACTAGGAAAGAGTAAGCCGGGCTGGGGAGATGAGGAAATGGGGAAGAGGCCTCCCCCAACCCCTTTCCTGAAGTAAGAACATAAGACTGCCCTTCTCTGTTCTGCAGAAGAGGCTTGCCTTCAGGGTCTCCCCTCCATCCACGACTTCCCCATCATACCGCCCCACCAGACCTAGGGCTATGGGGGAGGGGAGATGCCTGCATCCCTCCTTTCCCCTCAGGGACCAAAGATCTCTACCGCAACCCCTGCCCAGCCAGCTCTCCAGAATATCTGGCCCATAGCTGGAATTTTGCATCAAGGACCTGGGACGACCTTAGGTATTGTGTCATTCAACCTTTCACTTTATAGAGAAGGAAACCGAGGCACAGAAATAGGGAAGACAACAGCTCAAGAGCACAGGACACACTAAAAGCACAGCTCCAACCCAGAACTCCTGACACCTGGTCTGACACTCTAACATGCAAGTGCCATCAAAACCTCAGGATGCTCTAGGCTTGAGAGGGAACACGGACTATCTCACTCCTCTGCTGGAGCCACTCCCCTGGAGCCTCAGAGGAGGCTGGGCTGACAGAGTCTGGGCAAGGTGTATCATTTCCTCCTCCCCAACCTCTGCTTCCCTGAAGCAGTCCCACTGGATGCCCACTGGGTACTCACAGACTGCCCGAATACTGGCTGCCCCCAAGGAAGCCATATTTGTCCGTCTTGCGCAGGGCCAGCCCGTTTATCTCCGAATCTGAGCCCATGGAGCTCACATCATCTGCCAAGGACTCCAAGGTCCCAGACATGAGGCTTACAGAGTCCAAGTAGCTCAGAGTGTCCGGGGCCTGCCCTCGAGGCCCAGAGATGCCCGGTCCCAGGCTGGACGTGGAGCCTAGGTCCTGAGAGTTTTCAGCAGGCTCCGGAGCGGGGGTGACCGTCACGACAGCTACCAGAGCCTCACACGTCCCTGAAGGGCCCGGGCCAGGCCCTGAGGGGTCCTCTGGAGCCTGTGCAGTTGATGCTGATGTTGCTGCTGCAGCTCCATGTCCACTTGTCACCTGTCCTGCTGTCACTGCTGCAACCCGCGCAGTCCCTCCTGAGGCAACTGTGGTTCCCGGCTTGGGGGCAAGCGGGGGTTTGGCGATCAGAGCCCCAGGAGCCGTTCTGGAAGGGGTCCTGGTGGGGGTCCCGGTGGGGGTACCTGGTCCAGGAACGGGGGAGGGTCTAGCCTCTTCCGTCTTCGGAGAGTCAGCCCCCGGGCCCAAAGCCATGGACATCTCGGTTCCTGCCACCGCCGTGGGCACCGGGGGTTCTGAGCCAGGGGAGAACTGCGCCCTCGCGGCTTCGGGTGAGGCCTCCAGCGTCAGCACCACTACTGTGCTGCTCGTGATGGTCGAGGCCGAGGCCGGGGCCGGAGCCGGGGCCGACGTCTGAGGGGGCTCCGGTGCCCAGGCGGGCCGCGCCTCCCCGGGGGGCACCAGGGTGACCGGGGCCGAAGTGGCCGTGGTCACTGGCGGCCCCGGGGCCACCACCACGATGGGTCCGGCCCGGGAGCTGCGGGGCGGCGGCGAGGGGGCCGCGGGGGCGCCATGACGGCGCGGCGGGGCCACCAGGGGCGCCGGGCCCGTCTCCATGGCCGCGGGCCTACCCTCACATCCCCTCGCCGGGGCGGCCGCAGAAGGCGCCGCCCCTCAGGCCGCTCCGCGCCGCCCGCCAAGGAAGGGGAGAAGGATAAGGGCGCGGCCCGGCGCGCGTCGGGGACGGGGACGGGGGCGGCGCGCGGGCCGCCGCCTGGCGCGCGGAGGCGTGGCAGGGGTCCCGGGGCGCCAGGCGCGGGGGTCCAGCTCGCGCCCTCTCACCCCTTGCGCTCTCTCGCTGCCGCCCCCTCCCTTCTGCTTCAGGCGAGCGGCCGACCTCGCGCCTGCGCACATGCCCCAGTGCCGGCTAAGCGGCCAGCGTTTCAGCGTTTCACGCCTGCGCGCGGGCAGTCCCATCGCGCTCCTTTTTTTCTCCCGCCTCGTCAGAGTGTTTGGACGAATAATAGGAGAGAGGGAACTGGGTTTCTGCCAATGGTTGGAAGGGTGGGTGGGGTTGGCGGTGGGAAGGGGCTGGGTAATTTGGAAAGAGGAAATGGAGAAGGGGGAGGGCTATATGACCAATGAGAGGGCGAGTGAAGGCAGGAGGAGGCGGAACCAAAGATATAACTAATAGAAAAGCGGGAAGCTGAACGTTCTGGCCAATAAAAATGGCTGGAGGGTGAGTGACCGCGGAAGGAGGCGGGTGCTGCGCGAGAAGAGGCGAGCCCGGCCACTGGAAACAGTAAAAAGGGAGCCAATGAAAAGGGGGAGTAGGAGGAGGGCAAGTTGACAGACAGCAGTGTCTCTTTGGGCGGTGACAGACAGCAACCGCAGTCAATAGGAAGAGCTGTGGAATTCTTTAGGTCTCCCAAGAAGGTCAAGAAGGAATGACAGCTGGGGGGGGGGGGGGGGGGGGGGGGACGGGCCAGGCTTGCTATTAATTTGCATCGTCAGCCAATGAGGGTATTCCCTCACTTAAGCAACACAGAGGGAAGATAGATGGCTGTCTCAGCCAATGGCAGCATCCAAAGGGTAGGGGAGCTGCCAGCAGGCGGTGCCAGCCCAGGGATATCGGTGACAACCGGAGACAAGAGCAGGAGGAGGTGACAGTTGGGGACAGCGCCGAGAGCAGGCGGGGGCCACGGACATTACAGCAGCCCTTAGCCAATAAGGGGGCCGTGCTGCTTTGCTTGAGTCCTTTTTGGGCTGCCATTCTCTTTCTCTCTCAAAAGCAAGGTGGGGCTTGAACTTAACCTGAGGTGGAGAGCCGCAAGCCCTACCAACTAAACCAGCCAAGCGCCCCCGGGCTCCCATTCTCCATCCAGAGCTGCCTCACTCTGGTGGTGTGTGAGATCCCATCAGAGATCCAGTGGCCTGATCAAGTACTCTCAACCTTCACTTTGTCTCTAATTTTCATCTAGGCCCGCAACCAGCCTCAACATTCAAAGCCCAGACGACTATAACCAGAGCCCCCAAATCCTCTAAGCGTCCCATCTCCCTGGATCCTCCATTTCCTATGGGAATCCCAAGCCCTAAGTTCCTCTCCTCAGCAATCCCCCCCCCCCCCCCCCAATCTATCTCAGCTCCTCCCTAGAATCCAGGCTCTCATTCCTTGGCTCATCCTCTCAATCCCCACCCCCCAGCATTGTAGTGGGTATCCTAGACCCCAAACCATGAACTCCTATATCTGTGTTCTTATTCTTTGGGGGATCTAGGACCCATCAGCTCCTCTCCCATCACTGCCACACCTCTCTATACTCTCATTTTCTGCTGAGAAAGCAGACCCCAATCTCATGAGCCCCCAGGCTACCATACATCACAAACACAGAGTCCTGACTTTAGGAGTCCCTCTTCTCTCTGACCCCCATCTCTTTAAGCCTCAGGGTTAGAGGTCCCCAATTTCCATAAACGGTCCACCTCCTGAAATTTCAGTCAGGCCTAGCTCCCAATGTCCCAGGTCCTCCTTGGTTTCTGAGTTCTCTTAGGCTACTCAATCCCAGCTCAGACCCAGATCCTGTGTATTTCCATTCAGTGTCTGCGTTAGATATACAGCTCCTGATCTCCTTCTCCTCAATTTCCTCACTTTCCATTTGACCCAAGCTACCTGAGCACTTTCCCCTTTCCCCTCTTTGGAGTTTATCTCCCCTCGCAGAACCCAGGATTAAGTGGGCTCCTCCCTGGGCCTAGACCCCCATGGTAACCGTATAAGGTGAGACAGCTGTCGATTGAGGCAGGGAGGAGCCAGTGTAGGAGGCCAAGGGCAGCTGCTAAGTTTAGGGTGGCTCCTTCTCTTTTCTTAGAGACAACAGGTGGCTGAGCCCCAGGGCCCAGAAAAGAAAATGTCTTAGAGACATTGGCATGAGCCTGGAGGAGGGCAAAGGGAGGCGGCACCTTCCTCAGGACATCAGGTCCTAGAGGGAGCAAGAGAAGGAGGAGATGGGTGTACTTGCCAACCTTGGCCTCCTGGGGCTTCCTCAGCCACTATTTCCGTGGAAGAGGGTCAGTCACACAGTCAGCCGAGGTGGTTCTTGCCCGGAAGGGAGAAAGGAGCCACTGGCCATTCCAGCCACCTGGGAGGAGGTGACCAACTAGTGTCCCTCTTGGTGCTTTGACCTCCCCCTCCTCTGAGTTCCAAATTTCACAATAGGATCCAAAGAAATGATTATAGATGCATGTTAGATTGTGTTCTCCTGTTTCAAACTTTTCCAAGGTTCCCAAGGTCTCAATCCTCAGCCCTCTCGGTCTCCAGTTTACACCCTCTGCTCCAGTCCCAACACCATTCTGGCAACCTGATTTTTCACTCCTCCAGGGCTTTGTCCATCTGTGCTCTCCGCTTAGTATGCCTGCCCTTCCACTTTCACCTGACTCACTTCTCCTGGCCTTCATAAAGTCATTGCCATACTCCCACACAGGGGCCCTGTACTTCTGCGCTCCTAATCGGCCATTATGTCACTTTCTCCCTTTATCTTGTCTCCACAGCTAGGCTGTAAGTGCACCAAGGCAAAGCACAAGTATTAATTGTAATGACTATATTTCATGAAATTGTTTCCAAATAGTGTTCCTAGCCACAAGTTCTGTGGGATGGGGAAAACAGGGCCCTGGGAGCTGAAGCACAAAGCCCAAGATCACAGTGCAGGCTTTCTGCTCCAGGCAGTCTAGCATTTCACCCGGGTCATTCCATACTTGGCATCTTTTCTCGAAACATCCTCCCTGCCTTCACTAGAGGGGATATAGAAGACCTTCTTGATTCTTCAGCTTCACCAGACAGTTGTCTCCCTTTCAATTCTACCAGCACCCCCCACACATACATACACTTGACTGTGAACTCCCACAATGGGAGTGGGAGCTGTGCTTGCCACGGGGCACTCATGAAGCACAGCCCAGTGCCTGGCATACTGTAAGTCCTCAGTAATTTTACTGGTTTTCAATCTGGATAGGGTGCCTGGCTGGCTCATTTGGTTAGAGCATGCAATTCTTGATTTCTGGGTTGTAAGTTTGAGCCCCACACTGGGTGAAGAGATGACCTAAAAATAAAAATCTTAAAAAAAAAATACAAATACATGGAAACAGAAAAATGTTAATTTCAAAACAAGGAGTGTTTTTTAAATAAATAAATAAATAGATAGATAGATAGATAAATAGATAAATAGATAAATAAATATGGACCCATCCCACTCAGGGGCACAGGGGCCTGGTCGATCTTCCTCCCAGTACTGTACCTCACTTTGGTTCCTTTGGTTCCCCCTTTTGGGAAAGAGAACATCCTTTCCTGCCCAGGTCCTAGTGAGACATGCATCCAAGACCCACTCCCTCCTCCCTTCCTGGGCTCCAGCTGCTGCTGGCCCTCCAAGAAAGGAGAGGCCCTGAGCTGGGCTATTTTGGTAACTGGGGTGGGCACCCACAAGGCTAAGGTTACCCTGGTATGTTGAGGGCTCCCTGGGGCAGGACTATATAACCCCAGAGGGACAGGCACAGGCTGACTCTGCTCCTTTCCAGCCAGAGCCACAGCCTTGCCCCCAGGAGACTGAAGACATGGTAAGAATCCCCCAGCCCCTACCCAGATCCTTCTGACCTCAAGGCAGCCTCACTTTTTAAAAGAAAGTACCCAATTCCCAGTCCAGTAAGAGGAAACAGATGAATCCTCTCTTTCTTGGCATTGTTAATGAGGAGCATACAGAACCATGGTCTAAATCTGCCTAAGTCTGCCAAGGATCATCTGCCCAGACTCTCCACTCACAGGAGGCCCATCCCTCTCAATGCATGCTCCATAGCTTCCTGCACTCCCCCTTCCTAAAACCCTCTGGGATCAGTCAGGCAAGGATTCCAACTCCCATTTTATAAATGACAGAGCAGAGATTCAGACAGGGTGAGTGAGTAGATCAGGGTCACACAGCGAGTCCGGGACTCAGAGGAGGCAAGCCCAGGGCACTGAGAAGGGGACTTGTTGAGTCCCACTTGTTGGGAAGGATGGAGGATAGGAATGTGGGGTTGCACCAAAGCATGTCCCCTCAGCAAAGAGGTCATAAAGAGGGGAAAGCCTAAAACCAGAAGCATTGCTTTTAAAAAATGACTCAACTCAAAGAACCCTGAATCTAATCCATTGCCTCCAAAGAGGAGGAGGCATTAGCTCATGGACCCCTTTGCCCATTCCTCACCCCCACCCCAACCCCAGGCACCCAAGAAGGCCAAGAGAAGGGCAGTGGCAGAGGGTGGAAGCTCCAATGTCTTCTCCATGTTTGACCAGACTCAGATCCAGGAGTTCAAGGAGGTGAGTAAGGGGAGAAGGGAGACTGAAGACTGACCAAAGGCACCCCCTGCCGCCCCTCCCCCCAATACTGCCTCCCTGGAATGTGCACCTGTTTGGGGGGAGGGGAAGGGCTTAGAACTCCTTGCTCCCCTCCCCATTTGGCATGCAAGGGAACAGCTGGCTGGGGACCAGAATCTGATCTGCCTGGGGTAAAGATGCTGAAGCCTGGCCACAGGGGACCTAACCTCTCCTTGCCCCTGCCTTCCACAGGCCTTCACGGTAATCGACCAGAACCGGGATGGCATTATCGACAAGGAAGATCTGCGGGACACCTTTGCAGCCATGGGTGAGCCTCTTATCCCACCTGTAAAGATTCAAGGCTTCTGAGTACCAGGAATTCAGAAGCCTTGGGTTTCAGCCCTGCCGGCTCCACGCTGGGCCTCAGTCCACCCAGACGAAAAATGGGTGGGATGATCTGAATTTATGGGAAGGATCAACCCCTGGCCATGGGACCCCACTCCAGCTTCCCCCACCCTGCTCCAGGGCGCCTCAATGTGAAGAATGAGGAGCTAGATGCCATGATGAAGGA